TCTGACATGTAAGAATGTAAAAATACCCTAACAAAACATGTTATTTGTTATGTAAACAAAGACAGTAGTTGCTACTTTTGGCCTGTCATGTTGGCTCTCTTCTTATTTTGATTATGTAAATTTGGGATTTTTTTATAGCTGGAAAGAGAACTTACATATGAGAAGCTGAAAGCTTGGATCAGTCCTGCAGTGATGAACTCAATGGAGGTGAGGGTGTCTTTACCCAGATTTAAGCTGGAAGAAGATTATGATCTGAAACCCATTCTGAGCAGCATGGGAATGCCTGATGCATTTGACTTGGGGAAAGCAGACTTCTCGGGAATCTCATCTGGCAATGAGCTGGTGCTCTCTGAAGTGGTTCACAAGTCCTTTGTGGAAGTCAACGAAGAAGGCACTGAAGCAGCTGCTGCCACAGCAGGACTTGTCTCAAATTACTTCAGAAAGATTCCGGATTTCACTGCTGATCATCCCTTCCTCTTCTTCATCCGGCACAACAAATCTTCCAGCATTTTGTTCTGTGGCAGGTTTTGCTCTCCTGAGAAGGCTGGAGCACATTTTTAGCTACACTCCCCTTTCTTCTTCCAATCTCATCCATTTAGTGCCTTGCCCTAGAGGTGAAAGGAGTCTTTGGCATCCTGTTCCAGGTGTTGCTGAGTTCACTGCCTAGATGGGCTTTTGGCTAATAACTGGAAAGGACTTAGGCAGGAATGGGAATGAAAGTATGTTTTTGTACCAGATGCCCTAATGGGGTGTTAGTGGGGTGAGAACCTTAGTTTCATCACCACAGGACAGCTGGGTTTATTACCTGTCTCCTGGTTCTAGTCCTTTAACAAAGAATGTAATTAATTGTATGACACCAATGATAGAGCTGAAACAGTTTTCCTGACAGAGGGCTGTGTTTTGTGCTTTCTGTTCCTGAAATAATAAAAGCACTATAGGACTCTTTTCCTTTTTTTCAACCATAAATTGTGCATTTTTAAAAAATCAGTTGTATGAATAAGAAAACCCCGCTTGTTCCTTGATAGAATATTACTAGCTTCTATGTAACTTGTTTTGTATTCATTGTTAAACATGAGATTTTCTGGATTTTTAAACCTGAGGTGATTCATGGGGTTGCCTTGGAAGGCTTTCTGGCAAAGGGTTCCCTAGGCAATCGGTTGTTTCTGGGCAGGAGTGCAAGGCTGCCTCTTGGTTTTTTGCACAGTTTCAAATCATGGCTCGGTGATTTTCATCCAAAAGGATGGCCCTGTCCTTAATTCAGTGCACCATAACCCAGCTGTCTCAGATGAAGAAAGTAAAAGTATTATTCTAAGAGGAGGGCGGTGACACTGAACAGTTTCGTCACCTGGACACATGTCATGCACTCCAGTTTAAGGGCTGGTGCTGTGCACCCGAAACCAACACGGGCATTGTGTGTTCTGGTGGCCAGACCGAGGGCTGCTGAAGAACAAAGATCGCAATAAGCCAGAGAAAACCCTCCATGCTTTTAATTTCTTTAATATCGGGTTAAAAAAGCGCCACAAAACAAAACAAACAAAAACCCAAAGATGACTGACCTAAAATTTTGAGCGTAAATAGAGAGGCAGGGTGGGAAGACAGAGACGCGTTGCCCTGGGCGGCGGCAGCGGTGCGCTTGTCCCACAGGGCTAAAATCCCCTCGATCCTGTACCGGCTCTCGCAGGAGAGGTTTGTTGGTTATTCCCTATCCCGAAGCTCCCCCTTTCCTCCTCCGAGACATCCAAGCCTCCCCTGTGGGCAGCGGGACGGGCGCGGCCGTGGGGTAACTCCTGCGGCCCCGCCTCTCGCTCCGCCCCGGCCCCGGCGGGGTCCCCGCGGGTGTCCCTGCGGTGTCACTGCGAGGCTCGGCTCCTTCCTATCCATCCCATCCCGCTGCGCTCTCTCCACCCCGGCAGGTAGGCGGCCAGCCGGCCCTTAGCTGCGCCACGGGGCTCCCTCCGTCCCCGGGGCACCCGGGGCATCCCACAGGAAAGAGGCGGTAACGGGTCGAGACGAGGAGATTCTTCCTCTCCGCTCCCGTAGCGGAGGGGACCGCGCGGGGTGGGGGACTCTTCTCGGGCAGCCTGGGTGGGGGCTGCAAAACAGCTGGTTTGGGTGAAAGGCTTGCGCGGAGCGGAGGTGTAAGTAAACGAAAGTGAAAGTACGCTTTGGGTTCGTATAATTTTAGAGATGTTAGTGGGCGTTCTTTAGCATAGAGCTCGATAAGAACGTTGCAGAGCTACCGGCTGTTTATCCGTCTGTCGGAGGAAGCCGATAGTGGTATTTTGCAATTCCTGTAGAAAGACTGTGCAGGAAACAAAATTGTGGTGTAAACTCCTCCACTCAGTTGGTCCAGGACAGAAACAGCCACAGCGACAGTCCGGCTGCAAGCAAGCACAGAGCAGCCGGCGTCTGAGCAGGGAGAGCAGGAAGGCTGTACAGCATCCAGCAGTACTGCCAGTGGCCTTTGGGTGGTTTTTTGTGCATGATACAGCCCTTGCACCTTTCACCCAGCTCCAAGGGCCTCCTCGTGAGCATCTCCCCAAAATGAATCGCTGCTCTGACCGTGCAGTGTCAGTCCTGAGGCTTTGTCTGCTGTGCACTTCGCTTCTGCCTTCGCTGATCGGTACGTCCCCTGCAGCTCTGAGAACCCCGCGCTCTCTGCCCGAGCCTTTAGGGTCGCCCAGCCCCGGTGGGCCTCGGGTGTGTCTGTTCGTGGATGCAGCGGGCAGGGAGCTCTCTCGCTCTCGGCAGCGCAGGCTGGAGAAGACAGCGGTGCTTTACGCTACTGAAGGTCTTTGGCAGGATTACCACCTTTCAGGGCTATGATTTTTGTGCCATGAGATGGGCAGGTTGCTGAAAGGAGTCTGAATGCCCCTGAGCGGTGTAAATGTCTTCTGTGCAGGATGTGGGTAGAGGAGTTGGGGAAAAGCTCCTGGAGTGAGATCCCTGGCATATGCTGTGTCTGTGAGGCTGAAGGACTTCTACTTGCTGTCTTTCCAGCACACGGACTTCAAATTTCAGATCTGAAGGCAAAGAATTTTTTTCAGTGATTCTTTAGTGTGATAAGAAGGGTTGGAATATACAGTTTTAAAATCCTCTGCTTTTTCAATGTAATTTTTCTTTTTTTTAAGAAGAGGATGCACTGACAATTATATTCTTACTGTTTCTGTCCACAGCTGCCATCTGTTTAATCCAGACATTACTCTCTGAGTCACACAAGGTTAGGCAAGGTGTTTGAAGAGTGTTTCCCAAGGTCCTTATCAGTTGTTTTATTTTTCAGCTATAACCATGGAGAACCTGCCTAATGCCAACAGCAGATTTGCACTTGATCTGCTCAGAAGGTTTAGTGAGGCCAACCCAACAGGAAATGTTTTCTTCTCTCCTGTCAGTGTCTCTGCTGCTCTGGCCATGGTGCTTTTGGGGGCCAAAGGTAACACAGAGGCCCAGGTGCTGAAGGTTAGTAAAAAACAAATAAAATCATTTCATATTATATATTATTTACATTAGAAACACTTGTGTTTTAGAGGAGGAGAGGTGAAAAGAGGGCATTATTTTTATGTGCCCATGACAAGATTTCTTTCACTCACGCTGAGTCTTCCTCAGATTAATTTCTGCAGTTAGCTATCTTCTGCCTGCCCTGCTCCAGAGCCTCTCTCTATATCTTCTATGGCCCTTGTTGCTCATTTAATTTCACTTGTTATTTCTTGAAGTAGGAAAGTAATTACATTAATCAGTCTCCTTTTAAATTGATCAGAATTTCCAGCAGCAAGGCCTTATGAGAGATTTTGACAAACTATTACTTTATCACAAAAGGTCACTAGTAGTATTCTCATTGCTAAAAATACTGTGTATTTTGTAAAATACAAAATTGTAAAATATAGTTTTATATTTAAAGTGTAACAACTATGATGATACATGGTGATGCTACCGAAGTATCGATATCTTAGTCAGCTAGGCACTAAGATATCTCTGAGGAGCTAAGCCTGCATGGTTATCCTTATCATAGCCTTAGATTAGGTAGGATAGTTTAAAAAAACTTCCTTATACAGTGAAAAGTGGTGCACATAGTGTTTCTGGCGTGGAAAAGGAACTTCCTCACTATTTTTTTTTGCACTTCTGTTAGGGTAACGCCTGTAAAAGGGCGTATGAGACTTTTCATTGCAGTCATCATTGCCTATGAATAATTTCACCTTTGTATTCTGGACTTTAGCAGGAACTGTTTTATGCTGTTGAGTGTTGCTGTGCTTACTCAACAAGACAATAAAATTACTTTCTAGCTCCTTGTTCAAACAGACTTGAAACATATTTCATATAATCAGACTGACAGCCCCACCTAGGATAAACCTACTGACAGCAAAAATCATGCAAAAGGAACTTGGGGGGAAATAAAACTCAGTCACCCTCAGTAGGGCATGTTCCTGTACCATAATACTTTACTTATGAACACAGTGCTAATTAAGGAGGCAGTGATTAGTAACTGTTGAGGGCTGTTTGCAAGCATACAGAAGTTTGTTTCTGTGATCATATCTTTATTGTAAGTTGCCTACATGATGTGTTTGCTCAGCCATTCATCTGTGCAACACAACAG